TTGAATCTGTTTATGTAGATGTTTTTGAATCTGTTTTTGAATCTGTTTACATAGATGTTTTTGAATCTGTTAACGTAGATGTTTTTGAATCTGGTTTTGAATCTGTTAACATAGATGTTTTTGAATCTGTTTACATAGATGTGTTTTAATCTGTTTACATATATGTTTTTTAACCTGTTTACATAGGTTTTGAATCTGTTTACATAGATGTTTTTTGTGTCCGTTCACATATAAGTTTATGAATCTGTTTACATAGATGTTTTTGAATCCGTTAACATGGATGTTGAACTAAAATAGAAGCAAGGTCTTGATTATTTAAACTTTCAGGCAAGAATCAAAGCCAACAGGCCGTACGCCGATGTACCCTGTGACTGAGGGATTGAAAGAGTGAATTGTTGTAGTTTTCTAGATGAGTGTTATTCTGGACTGGAACTGAACAGGGAATGTAAGTAAAGATACATGTTTTTGGTGCAAGATATTCAAGGTAGGAGTTATAAATTGTGTTAAAGTAGAGATAATATTTTATTTTTATTTTATTTTATTTTTGTCTGAGATGGTGCAGAGTGACAGATCCTGGAAAGTGGAGGGGGCACCTCTATCCACCGCCAGGTGTAAATGTGGAGTCAGGGGGTGGCCAATGGGGGTCTTGGCTCCCATAGATTAATCTTTGGCCACCCCAATCATTTGAGAACACTATGCTTTTAAACAATATAAAAGTGTGTGTGAGGCAACCCAATTTTTGGTAGGAATCTTTCTTACATCTAGATACAGGCACAAACCGATATGAAAGTTGGTACCTATCTTACTTTTCAAGTTATCAAGCTCATAACACAGACTGATGGAGGGTATTTCAAAATCCCCCTCCAGCCCACAAGCAGGGTGGGGGTGGGGGGAGACTTGGTTTTCAGCAGGAATCACAGTCACATTTGCTAATTGTCAACCATGCAACATTTTATAAATCAGGAATACAATTGATGAGATAAAAATACTTTTATTTTTAAATCAAATATTGCTCGTTTTAAAATGTAGCTACTGTAAATATGTCACATTTGTTTGTTTTGGAACTCTGTCAGAATTGTCATGTTGTTGTGTACAATGATCAAAATTGATAAACGTTTACTGCAGCAGTTTTGCGGATATGTTAAAGACCGTTGTGAAATGCAGGTACGCACTCACTGTAAACAGAGCACTCTGCTGAATTAGTTGAAAACCACCTGGAAGCTTGAGTCATCAAACGATTGTCCTACAATGAGCTAGCCGAACTCTGTGCAGGTAAAAAAAAAAAAACATGGTTTTCAGTCATTTCGGCTGTTATGAAGTTGTTGCCATTTGGATTAGAAGTCCTTGATTTAAAGACACATCGTTAATATGAGAGAGACATTGTGCTGGACTTTATGATTAATATTTGAGTCTGCTTGACTTTGCAGTGAGTACCTTTAAGGGTCAAACACATATTTTATGATTTCTGTTGTTTTAGGCACTTTTGTGGAAGAGTTAGTGAAATAGTCATAAAAGAACGCAAGTGCTTAATTCAACAATGTCTCGTCTGCAAGAAGATGGATGACTCAGAATCCCAGTTGAATTATTTATGAGGTTTTGAATGAGACAGTGCAGTTAACACCTCCGCTTATGAATTATTGTCTTGTAAAAGTTCACATCATTTTCTTTCTGTAAATGCATGATGAAGAGTACATGTGGAGTGTTTGCCTAATGTGTGTGTGTGCGCGTGCTGATAAATCTGGCGCTCACATTTCCCCTGGTCGGCACATTTCAAACAATCAATGCCTCTAATGAGCTTGTTTACTTGTTTCAGACGTGTTTCAGTTCGTGTTTGTTGAAGCAGCGTAGCTTTGTGTCCTCGCTGATGTGTTTGTGATCTCTGTAATGCATTAAGTGGTTTTTTTTTTTTTTGTTTTGTTTTGTTTTAGGAAAACCTCATTGACTCTATTTTTTGAAGAAGTGGGTCAAAACACTTCAACCATAACCGGATTGAAAATTTCTTCACTTTATTGCTATTTTTTGAGCTGAATGTTTCCTGGAGGAACATCTGCTTTAAGCAGCTTTGCCTCAGGCGACTTTCCGCCCTTCTGTCCTGGATTATGTGTGCTAAAACGACAAACTCAGTTGTGATAATCTCATTTTTTTGTTTGTTTCCCTCACCTTTTAAACACAATGTACGCCACCAGGCCCACCACCACTGCAGCCAGGATAGAGCAGTAGATCGGGATGAGGTTTTCGTTCAGGCCTTGGCCGATGAAGTGAGGAGAGCCGGCGCTGGACGTGGTCGTCTCTCCGCTCGGCAGCGGGTTGTCTGACACATCAAGGGCGAGGTAATCATCGGAAGATGAAAGTGGCTCAGTGGTGGGAGGGTCATATGTAGGGAGGTTAGGATCTGTATAGAAGAAATAAGAAAAAAAAGGATTCGTAAGTCGAAGATGGTGCATGAATGTTTACTTTAACTCAAATGATGCTGCACAAACGCTTTGAGACAAATGCTGACAGTGAAATTGATCACACTCTTCCTGGGGGATATCTTCAGCTGAATCAAAACAAAATTAAATTATAAAATGTCTTTGGAGTTCTGCCCTGCCGGCTCCCTGCAGCCACATCTGAGCACCAATCAGCAGCACCCGAGGATCATCAGCTTGATGAGCAAGAGGAGCATAAAAGGAAGAAGAGGACATCCAGCAGGCGCTGAAGCATTACCTGCCAATGATAGTTCTGTTCTAGCCATTTACTTGTCAGTTAAACTATATAGTAACAAATTGTATATTTCTCTGTACTTTCAGAGTCGCTGATGTCCTCCTGTCCCCTGGATTCTCCTCTGTGGACCTCGAGCTCTCCTGTGCCTCCACGCCTTCCTGTCACTTGTCTGCTTCCTGCCTGGAACCTTTGTTCTGATGCGCACCTTCTTCGCCCTGGAACTATTGGGTCAGCTCTCCCCACAACTAACTCCTCTACCATAAGAAAGAGCAACAACAACATTATCACCCCCTGCCGACAGACCAGTAACCATCTCCTTGCTCTTCAGGGTTCCAGCTCCCTCCCTGGCACTTTCAATGATTTTTCCACCTTTGTAAATAAACACTGTGAACGTATCTGAGTCTTGGTCTGTTCTCTTTGGTCCTTGTATCTGCATGGTATAGCTGTAATTGTTACAGTCTGGTATGAAGGCAGCGGGTGATAGGCGATCCTTAAAACAAAAAATACTAGAGTTTTAGATGAAAACCATCTTGCAGTTTAATTCTAAGTGATGGTTTTAGCTGCTGTGGTGTAAACTTGAAAACAACTTTAGATGCAACATCACGACATGTCATGCTCTGAGTATATGTTGTGGATGACTCTCAGCTACTACCACATTAAACATTTGTTTTATATTTGTTAAACTGACTCAGATATAACCCTTTTTGCATTTTTCTAAACTCAGTTGAATTGAATTGGCTCCAAAAGGTAACCAGTTGTAAAAATGTTCATAAAAAATTTCTTGGCAATTTCAATAAAATCCATCTAATGGCTCATGAGATATTTTGCTAACAGACATATAATTTTAAGCACAAATCTCGCATCAGTTAGCACTCGTATTATAAAATGGGGATCAGTCTCGTCTACAATCGCATCATTTTTGGCTCAGTTTCTATGAAACTGGGTGAATTAACGTCATTTATGCGTTTCCTATGGTTGATTAGCTGTGGTGGCCATCTTGGTTTCCAAAAGTTGTTCAGTTTGGTTAAATTATATTCAAGTTGTAACTTTAAAAACCAAAGTCGTTGGATTCCACACCGTTATATTCGCGGTTATCTGCACTGATATTATTTCCCTTGGACAGCGGCTGCAGAAGAGAAATGGGATTATGACGACGCTCTGCTTGCAGAGAACTTGTTTACTGGCTTGTGATTAGTCCCTCAGCAGATGTCTCATGCTCTGCACACATGCAGCAGCTGCTTCTCATAAACAGATGGGTTCTGGCTAAGTTGCTGTGCGAAGGAAGAAGAATTTTGTTCTCAACAAGGCGGGGGGAGTAATTTATATCGCCCACCAGCCAGACCTGTTTCAGGCCCTGCACACTGGGTTTCTTCTCATCACAGGCTAATCTGTGTAACGTCTGCACGTTGCACGACGTTAAGACCATGTGGATCTTTGAAAAAAATGACGTTTGGGGATTTAGGGAGGTCATCTTTTGGATTGTAGTCTTTGCTGAGGCCAGGGAGGCTGGGAAATCACTGCGCTACTGAAGGGGTCTGGTTTGTCTCACAGCCAACGGCCTGTTAAGAAGCCATTTCCATACATTGTCCTGCTTCTTCTTTCTCTGTTTCTTTGATGACACCGTGTAACTGCTCATCTCGGAGTACAGACCCACTCTGATGGACACGACATCCTGCAGTCCTGCCATGATGGGTTTTTTTTTTAATTGTTGTTTAAATAACTGCGCTGGTTTTGTCAAATGTTTTGATTTTATTTTTTTCTTGGGGTCTCAAACCAGGCTGAGAGGAGCACCTATCCAGCAGAAATCCCAAACTCCTTTGAGCCGAGGCGCCCGTTGTGAGCAGAGAGTGTGAAGCTTGGTTCAGATCTGAGCCCACAACTCCCAGCAGAACCTCGGGCTGCTCTTCATTAGCTTTGTACCGGGCCTGGCAGGATTAACCCTGCGGAGTCTCCCAAGGCTTCTTTCAAGGCCAAAGACTGGGACACGCCATCCTGAATACTGCTGGGGTTGTTGATAAAAACTGGGATTTTTAAGGCCTGTTGACCGAGCACCCATTTCTGATATTTACTAAAAGGTTTACAATAGAGTACAATGAAATTTACATGAATTAACACTAATTGTTCAGTTTGTTACTGATTTTTGCTCCATTGTTTTATGCTCCTAAAGCCCCGGGGTTTAATCAAGTTCACTTTCTGTTTCTGGGCTCAAATGGGAGAGAATGGGAGAAGTTTTCACTCCTTTCTTTGACTTTGACAATATTTCCTGAAGTTAGGAGCACCTGCTGTTGCAGAAATCTAATTAATGCGTTTGTTACGTCTAAACTGGAGTGTTGCTATTCATCAAAATTTCCTGAGTAATCTCACAAAGTCCTCCAGCTGGTTCAAAATGTTGCAGCAAGTCCTTGGGTTTCATATTTTGCTCTTTCTGCTCTAGAAGTTTAAATTCTTCTTGTATGCATTTCTTAGAGACTGAGGTCCATCTTGTCCCACCCTTTAAACCCCATAAGGGTTTCCTTCAAGTCTCCACTCGATAATAACATGCCCAAAAGAAATTGAGTGTTTCTCAGCTATTACAAACTCTGTTTAAATCATCTTGGCATCATAATAAAGCTAACATTTGTGAAATTCCATCAAAAGTACACGCATCGCAGCTGATGCTGCTGTTTCACAGAAAATTACGCTGGAACTTGAAAAATAGGAGGATTTTTTCCCCTCGCCTGAAGTTTTTATGCATCATAGAGTATATTATCACCCCTTTTGAAAATATAATAAAGACGACTAAACAACTGTTGTAAAACATGAACGCACACATAGACATTACCTATGCAAAGATTCATGCTGAAGTAAACTATAGAGCAAAGTTACAGAAGTTTTAGTAAAGAAATAACAAAGTTTTGCCGTTCAGCACAGGACGACATATTTTGGCACAGTTTGGATCCAAACTGTGACAGTTGAGGGTTTTTTAGGCTTTTGATTGCAACAATTAACTTTATTTACAGGCCTAAAATGGCTTGTTGTTATATATATTTTTAATTACCCGCACATCTATTTATTTGTTGCCCCATTCAAATAAATATAGAATTATTATCATTATGTTTGACTCCAACTGTAGCATATTTACTCAAACTCACATTTTACAAAAATTGATAAAAAAAAACCTTCACAGCATATTCACTCAAATCTGGCATTTTTCAACATCACATAATCTTAATCTAAAACTGGCATGAAAGGTGGCGGGTGATTTGAATTCCTTCAGGGAATGCTAGGCCTTTATTTTGTTGTTGTTTATGTTTTAACTCAGAATAGCAAATCATTTGTCCCTTTTTATTTCTGCAGTGCAACACTCAATTCTCCCGACGCACAGAGTCAGAGTTTTATCATCTTCGACTGATTGACTGGCTGGACACTGTCCAAACAAATGGAAAGATAAAAACCTCAAGAAAACAGACACTCAACGGGTCATTCGCAGCTGAACGCCGCCTGCACTTGTTTTCTTTTCCCTGACATGGCAGACAGTCAAGATTCTCCACATTGATTCGTTGCATAATTTACACGTAGTTACAGCCTTAAAAAGTCCGATGGGATCTTAATGGGCAATCTATGCGGGCGTATCTGAGAAGTTTCTGTTTTTTATTAAGAGTCCGCGTTGGCCTGTTTGTCAGTGTTGTGATGACGGGGCACTTCTGCCTCACACAAGAGGGGAGTTGGTTCACTGGAATAGTTGAAACCATCTCTCACAAGGCAGAGAATCCAGTACATGTGCATGCCATACTTGGAAACCTCAGGCAGAACGCTAAGATCTATTTAAAGCAGCTCTATTGATTTGGGTCTGTCTAAAAGGGGGGAGTGTTTAGAGAAGTTGAACATGGGAGTCTGTATTACACGATTTTCTTGACCTTTCCTCGGATGTAGTCAGATTTCCTCCGCTCTGCCATACATCATTCAGCTAATGCCGCCCCAGCTAATGATATTAGCAGTGCAACATGAGCTTGCAAATACAATAAATAGTGAATGGAGGGTGTGAAAAGAACTGAAGGTGTGCAGACAGTCTAACCTTATATACAGTTTGACTACACGTACAGCTCTTTGTACCACACAGGTTTATCTTCCTGCAGAACTCTAAATGTTCTTTCTACATCGAGAATGGACGGTGAAGTGAAACTGCTTTGCCCTACAAGTCTGGAAGATAATGTCTCTCTGTTGTTGTATTACAGACTGAGTTTTTAACTTAAACGAGGTTAAAGGTTCAGACGAATCAAGATCTAGGACTTGTTGTAAACTGTGTTATTCTTGGCTAAGATCACCCCCTCCTGACAGTACGTCTTGTTTAGGAATGACTCAACAGGAAAGGTTAAAGCTCATGGTGTTACATCTTTATTGGAACTCCCTGCTTTTTATTTTTCTCTGGTTTGAACACTAAAACTCAGTTGGCTGTCGACCAAAGCACAAGCCCGAGGCAGCTGGGGCTGCATTGCACCGCAGCTGGATCAGACTGGGAGCTTAAAGGAAAAGTCCAGTCCAATTTGAAGCAGTGGCATAACCAGCAATGAGTTTACAGGTGGGTCCGACTGAAAGAAGGTGGGCCACCAAATTTAACCCAGCTTGTGAAATTAATGGAACAATATTTACTTGAACATCCCAGTTTTTTACAACACTGGTTCCAAAACTATTTTTCATTCAACCTTTATT